AGCGAGAGGCAGCGAGGGTGACGCGCAGGGCTTACATGTGTTTCTAGTCACAGTTAGAGAAGTCGGAGAGTGGGGCATTTCCTTCCTAATGCTCAGACGCACCCAGAGAGACTGTCCTGCTGGTTCCGAGGCAGCGTTTTCCAGTCCCCGGCAGCCGCTGGCGCGGCCAGAGCCGGCGGGCGGGCGGGCGAGAGGCAGACGCGGCTCCGGAGCAGGGCCGCCGCCCGGCGCCCGGCGGGGCTCTGCGGCCCCAAAGCAGAGCGAGCTCTGCAGCCGCTGCTCCTGCTTTCCCAGGAGGCCCTGCTTCAATCCCTTCCCTTCCTGAATCCCTTTTATTCCGATCTAACCTGCATCTCCACAAGCCAGATGGCTATGGGAGCCATTGAGGGAGAGAGGTCGCCACCCTCGAAACACAGCAGTGCTCCAGGACTCTGTGCCGCTTAGATTGCCAGTGTCTGGCCCTCCAGGCCCGTCCTCACTCATGGGACCTGAGAGAGACTCATGGGAACTTCTGGAACATTCCTCTGCTTTTTACCCTGCTAGCCCCTGGCCAGGCAGGAGCCACAGTTCCTGTCCTCACTGGATGTGTCACTCATATTTGTGGGCTCTAATTCCCTGCCCTCGACACTCTAGTGGTCACTCTGGCAGCGAGGAGCCTGCCCGGCCTCCAGATATCACCAGGGCTGCGGCACGCGCTCCAGACCCTTCCTCAGAAAGCCTCCTTCCCGCCAGCCCTGCCGCCCACCGGCCCAGGCAGGCCCGGGCACCCAACTCTCTCCCCTGCAGGCTTTGCCCTTTCTTCATCTGGGACGCTGAACCCTATTGCAATTTGCGTGAGCCTGGGCAAGGAGATTTATGGATCTGATGACCTATATCAGGGGTCAACAAACTATGTCTGGCCTGCCCTTGTTTTCATAAATAGAGTTTGCTGGAGCACAGCCACACAGTCGTCTTGCCCACGGCTGCTCACCAGTGCTGCGGCAGCCAAGAGTAGTTGCCATGGAGACCATATGGCCTAGGACACTGAAAATATTTACTATCTAGCTCTGTACAGAAAGAGTTTGCCAGTCTCTGTGATAGATTTTTTTTTTTTTTTTTTGAGACAGAGTCTCGCTTTGTTGCCCAGGCCAGAGTGAGTGCCCTGTCGTCAGCCTGGCTCACAGCAACCTCAAACTCCTGGGGTCAAGCAATCCTGCTGCCTCAGCGTCCTGAGTAGCTGGGACTACAGGCATGCCCCACCATGCCCGGCTAGTTTTTTCTATATATATTAGTTGGCCAATTAATTTCTTTTTATTTATAGTAGAGACGTGGTCTCGCTCTTGCTCAGGCTGGTTTTGAACTCCTGACCTCGAGCAATCCACCCGCCTCAGCCTCCCAGAGTGCTAGGATTACAGGCGTGAGCCACCGTGCCCGGCCTCTGTGATAGATTTAGATGGGGTAACTCTCACAAAGTGAATAGGAGTATTAAAAAGATACTATAAAAATAAGTAAATAAATAAATCCTCTGTGGATTGACAATAATATTAATGTTGCAATAAAGAAGGACAAGAAGAAAATGGCAGAACAGATTTTTCTCCCACCCACAGTACAAGCTACTTGTAAGATAAATCAGTTATACAATTATCCTCTAACCAGGCCTATAGAGAAGCTGGGGGGGAGAGAGAGATAGGGCCGGGAGGGGAGGGGAGAGAGGAAGAGGAGGAGGGAGAGAGAAAGAAAGAAAAGAAGGAAAGAGAAAAAGAAAGAAAGGGAGGAAGAGAGAGAAAGAAAGGGATAAAGAGAAAGAAAGAAAGAAAGAAAGAAAGAAAGAAAGAAAGAAAGAAAGAAAGAAAGAAAGAAAGAAAGAAAGAAAGAAAGAAAGGAAGGAAGGAAGGGAGGGATAAAGAGAAAGAAAGAAAGATTGATTATGGAATTGCTGCTGCAGATTATATGCTTAATATTTTTTTAGTTGCTGGGGTGCAGTTTTCCCTTTAATTATTATTTATTTAGCACTTTTTATGACCAAGCACTGTTTTTAAGATTTCACATGCATTAACTCATTCAGTCCTCAAAACAACCCTAAGAGGTAGGCACTCTTAGAATTGTCCCCATTTTATAGATGGAGAAACTGAGGCACAGAGAGAGTGAGGAATCTGCCCAAAGTTCTGCAGCTACTAAATGGTGGAGCTAGACTTGACTTCAGAGTCTATGCTCTGAAACTGTATGTTATACTGCTTTTCTTGATTAAGGAAACACAGACAGTGATAAAACGCACAATACCCAGAGAGTGGTGCCGTGGGTAGCTCTTTTTCGAATGACTTTGCATCCTAGCGACCAACCTTTGTCCCAAACTCTGGTGCATGGTGAAAGAATTTGAGGACCTCCCCTTTAAAGGAACTTTGAGTTTTTCTATTTTACACAAACCCAGGATGAACCCAGCAATTTTAGAAAGTAGCAGTGAAATAGGTCCTCAGGCACAGAGTCCCATTGAGGTGTCGCCTGCAATTTCAGTGAGTTGAGCAGCATTGCTGGCTGGTGTCACCCACGACCACGCTCCTCTGCCCAGTGCTTCGGGCTCCTAGGGAGCCCAATGGAGAATCCGCATCCTCTTCCGTCCGCCCGCCCTTGTTGGGGCAGATCGGTGTTCCTCCTACCCTCGGCTGAATGAAGAGCGCTCCCAAGCCCTAAATGTACCCTGGGCTTTGGCTTCCTCCGAGCTCCTCACTGGCTGCCCTGCTGTTGCAGCAGCACACTCTGGCTGGAGTCCGGGTGGCGGGCTTCGTCCCTGGGCACCCACGCCAGCCTGGGAAGGCTCCTTCCCTCTCTGGGCCTCAACATTTTCATCCATAAAATGAATGGACTCAGCTAGATGGTCTCTAAGAGCTCTTCATGGGTTAGAATGTTCTGATTCTGTATTTAATGAAGTGGAGAAAATATTCATGCCATATTAATTTGTGGAGGAATAAAACACTTTATAAAACCTTCTGTTTGACTTTTTAAAGTTTTTGTTTAAAAAATACCTGTAGCACCACATATACTCACCAGCAAACTGGTATTAACTGAGCAGCACCTAAGTGGACACATAGGTACTACAGTAATAGGGTATTGGGCAGGGGGGAGGGGGGGTGGGTATATACATACATAATGAGTGAGATGTGCACCATCTGGGGGATGGTCATGATGGAGACTCAGACTTGTGGAGGGAGGGGGGGAAAGGGCATTTATTGAAACTTTAAAATCTGTACCCCCATAATATGCCGAAATAAAAAAAAACCTGTAGCTATTTTTCTTCCTGTCCCCCTTGGCTGCTGAGAAGAGGGTGTTTTAGCAAAAGAATTCACTAGCATTCCTTGTCAGACAGGAGCTCCACTCCCAGGAGGGGGAGCACCGTCACCCCCAGAATGGAGCCAGGGCTGCCCCCAGGAGATTCAACCCAATGGACAAAGGTTCTCAGCAGCTCCAACCAAAAAGCGGTCCCTGAGGAAAGCAGGGAGCCCGGAGAGGGGAGAGGGGTCGGGAAGAAAGGGAGCCCATTCAAGGTCGACCCTGTGTGAACTGCAAGTCAAGCCCATGAGTGTCGTGAGGACTCACAGAATGTGGAGGTCTCTCCCCACAAGGAAGTCACTGTCCAGCCGGCATGAAATGCCGTGTCGATGCAAGACAGCGAGAAGGAGAGTGTCACGGTGAGCAATGGGTGGGCAAGGGTCTGAGTCTTGTCTCTGGCCAGCATGCTGGAGGCAGCTACTGTGCCTCTCCATGCCTCAGTTTCCTCATGCGGAAATGAGGTACTACGCTCAGTTTCAAAAGTACCTTCAGCCTCTGAGAATCCTGAGTGGACGGTTCACTGAAGGAGGCCTGAGCGTGGGCACCAGGAGTTATGCCATTTGATGGGTGAGTCAGGCTAGGGGTGACAGGAAAATAATTATCTTACAATCAACACCAGGGCTAGGCAAGTAAGAACGCTGACGGCGTGAGTACGGCCGTAACCCGATGAGATAGAGCGACCCAGTTTCCTTGCTCGGATTCCAGGCAACCAAATTGTCCTAATTTGGTGTCCAAGGCGGTGTCTCAGGGAAGAGGAGGGACAGACAGGAGTACCCAGACATGGCAACCAGAAATTGACAGTCTTTTGTGGGAGCAAAATTCGATTACATATGAGAAATCTCTGTGAAATTTTATATAAAGTAGCATTCAAATGCAAAAGGTATCATCCTTAGTAATATCATCATTGGTCATGAATCTCTCTCACGCTGATTCGGATAGCCTTTGAAACCTTCACAACATTTTGTTAGAGCTGGTAAACCTTGGGTGACTTGGTTAAATGTAGAAATTCTGGATCTGCAAAGCTGATCAGAGGTGAAAATTGCTAACATTTACAAAGTGCTCTTCTAGATAGTGTCCCTGTCGCTCTGGGAGGGAGGGAATGTTACTTTCCCTGGTCTGTAGTTCAGAAGGGTCAGAGAGCTCAGGTAATGGATCCCGAATTATAGAGTAGCAGCGTTTGAGCTGGCAGTCAAACCCAGGTGTTCCACTCCACATCCAATTCAGCGTTGCTGCTTCTTCAGGCAGCGAGCCTCCCCCGGCGCAGCCCGCGCCGCCGCGCCCAGTCGACGGCTGAAGAAGTGGTCAGAAGCAGGTGTGGAGAGTGAACCCAAATGCCAGTATGTTCTGGAGATCTTGGAACCCTTTCTCTTTCTCTCTTCAAATGCGCTGAAAGCACATGGAGCTGGATCCGTTTAGCTTCCCCATGTGCCTGACTCAGGCTAAACCTGCTTGCTGCAGGCGTAGAGAGCTCTCATGCTGCTCAGGTAGAGCCTGTGGGGTGCCGAGCAAACCTCCGACTCCTGCTCCTGCCTTCTGTCCTTTGGTCTAGCTGTTGCTGCTGAGGGTGGCTAAGGATCAACCGAGATGGCCCCCGCCCCTGGAGCAGCACTGCCACCCTGGGTTCCTGGCGTCTCAGATATTGGAGCTGCCAGTCTCAGATTACAGGAGGGGAGGGAGGGCGGGTCTGGATCTCAGGACCTCAGTCCTACGTGCAGTGCAAGCCCGAGCGCAAGCCCGGAGGGCAGTGTGGGCTCTTTGTGCCCAGGCCTCTGCACTCACAGAGGGAGGTGGAGGTCCGCCCCGCCCGGCGGGCCTTTATAGAGGCTCAGGGAGAAGATGAACTGGCCCCATCCCTGCATCTCCTTTTGCTGGATTTACTTTGCTGCTTCTAGACTGAGAGGTGAGAGGCTGGTGGCATATAACCATCTTGGCTTATCTGGGGCCATTTCTTTGGTGGGAGGTGGGATGGGACGGGGAAGACAAAGCTGATGACCCAACTGCGTGGAAGGGTCCCGTGCTTCCTACCGACACACGCTGGTCTGGGGGGGGGCAGAAAATCCACTCATCCACGGACACAGAGCTTAGCCCTAGCTGACGTGCTCTGCCCCAGTTTCCGACCTCAGACTGGTATCTTTTTCTCGAAGTACACACAACACTCTGAATATTGATCTAGGTCCCTCTTTTTGAGCAGCTGTAGAAACGGCTGATGGAAAATATGCCCGGAAGTTGTTTAATGACCTTTTTGAAGATTATTCCAGCGCTCTTCGTCCAGTGGAAGACACAGACAAAGTCCTGAACGTCACGCTGCAGATTACACTTTCTCAGATTAAGGACATGGTGAGTAATACACAGTGGCGACTTTGGAATGGTTCTCAGAATGAAAACAACCATCTTTCCAACGGGAACGTCTGGCTGGGAACATGAGAGCAAGTGAGAGCAGATGGCCGCGTTCAAGCTGCCGGGAGAAGGAAGCTTTGCACAAAACTAATTAATTTCACTAAATGTTATCCTGGTTATTAACTGGAACAGCCTTAGATAATCTAAAGAAAGGTGGTGTTGTATATTATATGCTTCCATTTCTACGAAATGTCTAAAATAGGGAAAATCCATAGGTATGGAAAGCAGAATAGTGGTTGCCAGGGGCTGGGGAGAGGGGAAGTGACAGGCCAGAGACTGTGTAATGGTTAATGGGGTTTCTTTTTAGGGGTTATTATCATAATTTAATTAGATAGTGGTGATGGTTACACAACACTGTGAATGTATTGGAAACCACTGAATTGTACACTTCTAAAATGGTTAAAATGGTGAGTTTCATGTTATGTGAATTTAATTTCAATTTGGCAGAAAGGAAGGTGGTGTTTTAAGATGATATCACTTATTTAGTGCTTATAGACATTTAATTACACAATATTATGAAATTTGAAGGATTTTTCTTTGGTACATTGTAGATATTTCCTGACTTTCTCATTCAAGTACATCATTAGTTGATCAATTTTCTGAGAAATTTGAGCAGTAGACCCATGCAAAGATCTAAAGACTTAAAAATGTGTCCACTTTACATTCTGAACAGTAAATCCAGAAGGAAGAAAATAATGTGACATTGGTAGTCAATCAAGGGATAGAACAGACAAAAAAAAGCTCTCATTGATTGAAAATAGATTAATGTCCTCGAAATGCCTGTTCTGAAGAACAAGCGTCCTAAAAATGGAAGACGTTTGGTTGAGGGTCTGCTGGATAAAGTCACATCTGGATTCACTGTGCAGGATGAAAGAAACCAGATTCTGACCGCCTATCTGTGGATTCGCCAGACCTGGCACGATGCGTATCTCTCTTGGCACCGGGACCAATACGACGGGCTCGACTCCATCCGGATTCCCAGCGACCTGGTGTGGAGGCCGGACATTGTCCTGTATAACAAGTGAGTGCGAGTCGGAACTAAGCCTTTTCAGGAATGAACTTATTGATTAATAGAATTTACACATGATGAAAAAGGGCATGTTTTAAAACATGCATGAAGCTAAGAATTAATCCACACTCCTAGGCCCTGAAATAATGGTCATAAAATCTTAGATAATAAGATAATAGTTGATAAAACCTTACAGCTAGCAGGAAACCACCAAATTCAATCTAGATTCCCCCTTTTCAGGTGACAAATTGGAGGCAGCATTAGTGGCTTTTTTAGTGGCAGCATTTTATGGCTGCCATATAGAATAAAAGTACTGCGAACGAGGCAACAACAGAAATTTGTAGTCTCCTGGTTCTGAGATCCAGGTGTCGGCAGGGCTGCTTCCCCGTGAGGAAGAGTCTGTTCCCGGCCTCTCCCTTAGCTCTGGGGCTTTGCCGGCAATCCTCGATGTTCCTTGAATTGTAGAAGCATCACTCCGATCCCTGCCTTCGTCTTCACCTGGTGTCCTCCCTGGGTGTTTCCTGGGTCCAAATTTCCTCTTATATAAAAACGCCAGTCACATTGGATTACATGTCCACCCTATTGCAGCGCGACTTCATCTTAACTACATCTACAATGGCTCATTCTCAAATAAAGTCACATTCTGATGTTGGGTGCTGAGACTTCAACATATCAATTTTTCAGGGATACAATTCAACCCCTGGCAATGGCACTCATTCTCCAGGGTCACGTATCAGTAACAATGATGCTGGTAATGCTAGATTGGAATGGCCATCTAGAAGCTGGCCTGTGGATCTGGGACTCTGTGTGGAGTGGAGGGAATGAATGAACCAGATCACAGGGCATCGGTTGGCTTTTTCCTGGTCTCAGAGCAAAGGGCCCTGTCCAAATGGGTAGGTGAGGGTTATGTCTCTCCAGCTGTAAAGTGCCCACGGATCTCCCAGGATCTTGTTAAAGTCAGATTCTGAGTCAGGAGGCGTGGGATGGGCCTGCGGTTCTGCACTGCTGCCAGCTGCAGATGATGCTGGCACCCTACGCTTTGAGAAAGGAGCCAGAGCTCTCTGCCACGATTCAGACTCAGTTGCTCCACCTGTTGTGGAGGGAACTTCTCCCTCTTTTTATCTGGGGCCCAAGTTTCCGTGGAATGGGGAAGGTTCCTCCGCAGTGCAGAGCAATGTGCATGAGGGCGGTTCAGGGGCCCCCCGGGGCAGTGGAGGTTTCCCGTGGGCATGGACTTCCCATAAGGAAGGAAGCAACACCGGCGGGCTGCAGCCTGCATTTCAGTCTCACTCCTTACTCAGAGAGCTCATCTGAGGGTCTAGACCTCTTGAATCCTGGCTCTGATCCTCCTGTTCATTCCCCACCCCCAGTGGCCAGAGAAAGCTTCCATTTCCCTGCCCAAGAAAGAGAACTTTTAAGTACTTGTGGTTTATTTTCCAGTTCACCTCCCTCCTCATGTGCTCACTCTCTCTGTCTCTCCCTGTGTCTCACACAAACACACACATAGAGCATGAAAATAAGTCACATTGTCTGGCCAAGTGTGGTGGCTTCTAGTACCTTGGGAGGCCCAGGTGGGACGATCACTTGATTGCAGGAGTTCCAGACCAGCCTGGGCAAGATAGTGAGACCCTGTCTTTACAAAATATAAAAAAAATTAGCCGGCCTTAGTGACACATGCCTGTTGTCCCAGCTACTCAGGAGGCTGAGGTGGGAGGATCGCTTGAGCCTAGGAGCTCTAGCTAGAGTAGGGTGGACACCTAATCCGATATGACTGGTGTTTTTATATAAGAGGGAATTTGGACACGGAAACACACAGGGAGGCCGTCAGTGAGCTATGATCCCACCACTGCACTCCAGCCTGGGCAGGAAAGCAAGACCCTGTCTCAAAAAAGAAAGAAAGAAAGAAAGAAGAAAGAGAGAAAGAAAGAAAGAAAGAGAAAGAAAGAAAGAAAGAAAGAAAGAAAGAAAGAAAGAAAGAAAGAAAGAAAGAAAGAAAAGAAAATGAGTCACATTATCCATCACCACTCTCTCATCCACAGAGTTCAGGAGAGTGACATCTGAAAATGCAGTTGACAGATGGTCTCTTACAGCATTCTGTAAGTTTTAACAACTCTCCTTGGAAAACAAACAGAAAGCTGGTTCTCCTCTCGCTCCTGCTTTGATTGGCTGAGGCAGTGACCAGCTCTTACTAAAATGCTTCTTTGCAAGCCTGCGTGGCAACCTAAGTTGAGCCTCCCCAGGGCTTTATTAGAGATGCCAGTTCTATGCTCATGTGCCCACACAAACCCACTGTGGCTCTGGCGAATCCTGTCCTCATTGTCCCTCTCTCTGCCCACCCCACCGATGGCCTTGATATGTTCCCTTTCTTTCTCAGAGCCTTTTACCACACCGATTAACTCTATTCTTGTTTGCCATCTTCTCAGAAAAACTTCCCAGAGATTTGTCATTTAGAGGCATCTTTAAATGTAGCTGTGGTTGGATGACATTTGCATTTCCTAACTGACTGTGGGGAAAATAGGAGAGAGTTATAGGATCAGGCATGGAAAAGCCCCTAGCCATGGCTGTTTCCTTGAGCCTGGTCCATCTGGCTGAATCCCCGCCCCTGCAGAATCTTCTGATTCCAGACACAGTGTCACCACTCTCCGAAGCTGGGACAGAGCACTGTAGCACAGAATGGGCTTCCTGAGTGGCGGCGAAGGGAAACGAGGGGCCTGGGTAGGCGGTGCCGTCTGGGGTGATGAGATACTTTGGGCAGGAGGGTGCTTAGCACCTAGAGTCATCCTGGTGCTTGAATCCACGGGGCTAGGCTTGTTGGGTAGTGATCAGGAAGGTAATGGGCCCGGAAACCACTTCACATGAGGAGCAGTTGAATTGGTTCATGCTTAGTGAGGAAGAGAGAAGACCTTGGAAGACTTGATGGCTGCCTTAGGCAATCATGAGAAAATAAGGCAGAGAGAAGAGAGAACATTGCTCTAGTGGGCAAAACCCCAAACAATGAGTAGAAGCTAATGGGAAGATAAGATCTACTCAAAAAAAGAAAATTTTCCCAATAATTTCAGCAATGAATTTTCCCAGGAGGTAATGAGCTCTTCAGCAAAATAATAGTTCAAGTAGATACTGGCTCTGTTAGTAAATCAGTAAAGAAATAAATGAATTGGGGCTCAAAGTTCTGGTGAAAATGTTTACTATGAATGTATGGTTAGTATAGTGGTTAGTATAAGAGGCCGCAAGGATTCCTGACATGTTTAAATTGGGTAAAGAGTGGAATACAGAAATATAAAATCTGCATGTATCATAGCAAGGTTTTAATGGTTGGATTTTTTTTTTTTGGACATTTCAACTACATTTACCCTTTATTCAATCTTTTAACAAAACATTATATATTAAAAAGGATAACTTAAGATTACAAAGATACAAGTAGATAAATCTATTTCTGATGTGCTAAACAAACCCTTGGAGCTAAATTAGCAGCATGACTAATGTAGCCGTTGCTGTTAGTCACCTTCAGACAAATTATCTTCATGACACATTTAATGTTTCTTTGTGTTGTGTGATATTTTTGTATGTTAATAAAAAACAAAGAATTTTAGATGTCTTAGTGTCTATTATGTAAAAAGTACAATTGTTTTTCAATTCAATGAATTTTATAGAAAAATAAATATATTTTTAAAAAAGATAAATCTCTAAAAGAAAAAAATAAAAATAGGACACATGAAAAAATGTTCACCTTTTTGAATAATTAAAGAAAAGTAAATATATCAAGTAATATGTATAGAGTCTCTAAAATGTTGATATCCTTTTCTCTTGTTTATTGCTTCTGCTTTATGAAGGGTTTCCCTTTTGCATTATTTATAGTAAAAAATGGAAACCAACACTAAACCAACCAACTAAACCAACATTAGAGGAATGACTATGTAAACTACAGTAGATAAATTCTTTTTATTTTATTATTTCAAAATATTATGGGGGTATAAATGTTTTTGGCTATATGGATTGCTTTTGTTATGCTTGAGTCAGGGTTATAAGTGTGCCCATTTCCCAGATAGTGTTCACTGTACCCCTTAGGCAGGTCTTCACCCATCTCCTCCTGCCCCTCCCCCCTTGCTTGATTTCTACTGGGTTTTACTTCCCTCTCTGCACATGTGTGCTCACTGGTTAGTTTAGTGGTTGGTTTTTTTTTTTTTTTTTGAGAAAGGATCTTGCTGTGTCACCCAGGCTGGAGTGTGGTGGTATGATCATAGTTCACAGCAACCTCAAACTCCTGGGCTCAAGCGATCCTCTTGCCTCAGCCTTCTGAGTAGCTGGAACTACAGGTGTGAGAGCCTCTACACCTAGCTAATTTTTCTATTTTTAGTAGAGACAGAGTCTCACTCTTGCTGAGACTGGTCTCAAACTCCTGATCTCAAGTAATCCTCCCATTTTGGCCTCCCAGAGTGCCAGGGTTACAGGTGTGAGCCACCATGCCTGGCCAAAATGGTTGGATTTCAATGAGCAGCTTTAATGGTTGGATTTTAGACCATTTTAGTGAAGAAGTCGGTGCCCTATTATATTTAGAAGAATTTGTCTAGAATTTAGCATTAAGGTCAGCTAACCTTAGCTATATGAGATGATTTAGTGGATGGCAAGACTTCTAGATGAGATTGTAAATAAAGGAGGGTAGAAGAAATAGGTTTGGAGAAAAAGAGGATGAGTTTGCTGTTAAGTTTGAGGGACAAAAGGAAGATCCACATGGAGATGTCCAATCATGACATTGCAAAGGCAAATCTGAAAGCCAGAAAGAAGGTTGAGGAGAGATGCCCAAACCCTTTAAAGCCCTGTAGAACTTCTCATGGAGGGGATGAAAACAGCTGAGGACAGAGTTGGGGAGACCCCAACTTACATTTACTTAGAATTAAAGGTCAGAAAGTAGAAGGAGAATGAGAGAAAGCTGTGTCCTAGCAACCAAGGAAGAAATGATGTCTCGGAACAACCATAGTGTGGAACGCTTGGGCAGAGTTGAACAAGAAGACTTA